ACCACCGCTTGAATTAACTTGACTAGATTAAGATGAATTTTGGTTGGGTCTTGTAGAAAAATGTGGTTAAAAAGGTTGATATTGGTTTAGTAAATTGAGAAAATACTTTTTTGTTACATAGTAGCATAATATTCACAAAGCTTTTTTATAATAATATGCGTATTTGTTTCTGTATAAACGTGATAATTATGTAGGTAGTAAATACTTTTTTTTAAGGGGTGAAAATCATCGAATGACTGCTCCCGCCCGAGTGAGGCGAGCGAGAGGGAGTGCCAGACTTTTACTGACTAAAAACCTCCCCGTTCCTACTCCTGCACTTCGAGTCGGAGCTTCGGTAACCCGTTAGGTTCTCCGCGTAGTAAATACTAGGTCCTTAAACGTGTGTTAGTTACAAATTCCATCTAACATAAACATTTCGGGCCTCGTAATCATTTGAAGAGGTTGTAAATTTTATCTTTCACAAAATAAATCAAGTAGGTACATTCATAAAAGTTAATATTGCCTAGTAAAGGTAACGAAACACTTCCAGCGAAAAGGTTCGAAGTCAGAATTAAAATCATCTTCGGTCAAACACGTAATCAAGTTTGAACAAGAAAAGTTTAAGACTTAAATCCAGATTAAATTAAAACTTTCCACGAATACATTTAATATTTAAAACGTAGGCCACTTTGTAAACGGACACGTGTTTTGTGTTTGTCTCATCATCATATTTAAATTAAGAACGTTTTTTTTTATAATTGTGTTATTATTTAAATGTGGCATCTTTTTTTTCAAACATAGTCTATACTTACTCGTGTTTTTTTTAATATGGCTGCCATTATTTTGTAATTTCGTCATAACAATTAATTCTATTTATACAGAAATTCGAGTAAAATAGTCAGCTAGATGGGAATAATTACTTATTTCTATTGAAACGCGAACTAATTCGTTTTCCAATTAACTTATTTGCTACATTCGAGTATAAAGTACATTTTCTGTCGTTAGCACATAATTATGATTAATCCTTTTTAGGTTTCATACAGTATTATATTTTAATGAGCATTAACAAATTTAGATATTTCCTGTTACACATGTTTTTAAATAATCATAACATTTATTTTACCTATCAAAAAATCGCGAACGATCCTTGTCATTTCTCAACATTTTTAATGGCGATTCTCCTCGTTATTAACTGAAATGTAAACAGAGAGCTTAGTACGAGTTTTTTTTACGATACAAGTAATCGAAACGAGTAAGCGTTCGGCGCTCTGATTGGCCGGCTCAATTGAACCCACCAATCAGAGCGCCGAACGCGTACTTGAAACATAAAAGAAACTCGTACTAAGGCTTGAAACAGTACCAATGTTCAAAAATATCGCTAAAAAGTAGAAAGCAACACAATTTACTCTCCCTCATCATCAATCACAATTCATCATCAACTTAATGAATCTTGATTACGACTTCGTTTAATTACAACATGCGGGTGACCAGGACCACCTAAGTGCGACAACACTTATTGTACGAGAACACATGAAAATATACAAGACCAATATAAACTGACCTTTCAATTTGTATAAAGAGTATATAAAGCGAGGTCATGATAAATTGGTTTTGTATACTTTAATATGTAGCTGAAAGCAAAACTCGGAATCAATTAAAAAGTGACTAATTACTTAACTTTGGATAATAAAAGGAAAGAGATAAGGGAATGAAGTAATTACTTAAGGCCGTTATCTTTCTTTCTTTTTTCGATCGGGTACGGGCCCTTCGTTCTCGGATTCTCCCCTGTGTGCGATTTGCAGTGATCACTGATCAGGTTGAGGTTGTGGGGTGCGTCGTGGTTAATGGCTTGTGTTTCGTAACAGATCGATAGCGGTCATTGGTCAATGGGTTTAAGTTTCCATAATTTGTGTTTGTGTGTGTGTGTGTTTAAAAAGGATTGTTGCGGTTTTCGACTTAAAAAAAAAACAAGGAGGTTCACAGGTTGTTTGTACGTATATTTGTGCGCGATTATCTCGTGATTGGCTGAACCGATTTTGATGCGGATTTCATAAACGTGTTTGGTACACTTAAGAGAAGGTTTTAGTATATTATTATAACCGACTTCAAAAAAATGTGGGGTGGAAGTCGGGTTTTTTGGAACGTAGTTTATAAAAGACATAGTACAGTGGCATAATGTGCACCTCTGCCTACCCCTTCGAGGATAAAAGGCGTGATGTTATGTTATGTTATGTTTATAAAAGAATTATTGAATTCTTAAGATTTTGTTAGTATTTGTTCTGTAGTGTTTTGTTGACAGTCTATTAATGTACTATGATTCCGTCGGAATTTCATGTGTAGAAGCGGGTTTATGATATGACGGGTAAATGGGGGTTCAATGATTTTAGGTTATCTAAATTATTGTATTCAGTTGTCCATCCCTTTCATATCTTTCAATATTATATCTTATCGACTTCTACTATGTCACGTCTGCTAGATGCAAATGTCCGTGCGCATATTCCTTTGGAGAGTTACGTATTCTATCGCTCTCGAAGAAAATACATAGACCACCGTCTTAATCGCGTTTTGCATTCTGATCTAATTCGCATTTTGATAAACTAACTTAAGATAAATCGGGTTAACTCTTTCAGTACTTTTTATGCAAAGGTCTTGAAATTCACATTATAGAAATCCACAAAAATGAGTGGGATATGCTATAGGCTTGATAATGAACACTCAGAAATATGAACTTTGATGAAATGACTGTGCAATAAGACTCTTAATTACTTAACCTTAAATATTTTCTAGGAAAAAAAATAACATAACATCACGCGTTTATCCCCGAAGGGATAGGCAGAGGTGCACATTATGCCACTGTACAATGTAACACACTTTTCACTATTTATGTTATGAGTCCCTTGTAATAGGGGGTGAGCCTATTGCCATATACCGGACACAATTCCAGACTCCATGCTACTACTGAGAATTTTTTTTAAATCCCTGTAGTAGTTTGCCCGACCCGGGAATCCCTGGCCCGACAGTCGCGCTTGCGACCACTCGGCCAACGAGGCAATAGGAAAAAAATACTTGACTTAAATGTTTTTATCTTCCACAGACGCTACGGTGTGGTCGACAAGAGGTTCTGCGTGGAAGGAGGCTCGCGTTGTGGGAAGGGCGAGGGCCTATTCATCTTCGCAGCTGAAGGAGGCAGGGAATTGACGGAGCTCCTCAACGTGTACAGTCACGAAGCACAATCCAGGCTTAGCATAGCGTCCAGGAGTGGATCAGGTTAGTCTTTAGACAATTATAACTAGTTGGTATTTTACCGACTTCAAAAAAAGGAGGAGGTACTATGTTCGGCTGATTGTTTTTTTTTTTGTTTGTTCCCGCAGTACTCCGCCATTTGCGAACCGATTTCCAAAATTTTAATTTTTTCTGTCTATGGTCTTGTGTGGGTTAAGTGAGCAGCTCTTAAACTTGAGTACCTCTATGTATTTCAAATTCATTATTTACTAGGAAAATGAATTAGAATAGTAGCATTAGCTTTAATCTTATAATAAGCGTTTTATTTACTCAATTCAACTCTCAATCACGGATCATTAACAAATCCATTTATCTATAACACTTCAGTTTGATAAACAAACACGATCAGTTAGAAAACTATTTTTTTAAACCCACACAACTGTACGTTAGAACGTACCACAGACAAACTACCTCTAGAAAAAAAAACAATATTGACACATCTCTTGACCGTAAAATCCGAAGTCACCTTTTAGCATTATTGACGTTGGAAAGGAGTGCCATGCCATGAGAAGTCATTGTATACCTGCTTAATCTAATCTTTGATAGATAAAAAATTGCGAACGATTCTCACAGCTTTGCACAACACATGCCCAAATACTGAAAGGCTATTAAATTTTGAGTTGTACTTCAATATCGTGCCATCTCTGTCTTTTTACAAAGAATTTGTAGAGACAGAACTATATTTAAGCGCGACAGTTAGCCCTAGACGAACATATAGTGACCAGATTGGCGATATATTAAAGAAGGGCCAAATTAAAAGTACCTTTCCGACGAGCATGCATGAAAAGATTGATGAAGCGAAATAGGTATGTAGGAATCGTAGTAATTGGCGTTCCCTAGTCTCTGCCTACCCCCATGGAAGACAGGTGTGAAGTTATGTGTGTATGTAGACAGTTAGAATGTAGCTTAAATATTGGTTGAATTACTACTGCAGATTCAGACAACAGTTCAGCCATATTAATGTTGAAGTCATCCCAATCTCTTGATATGATTTTTGATTTTATTGTGTGGCAATACATTGGAATTTCGATTGAAGAAATTAGACGGATAGGGGTATCTTGATGTGCTGTAGGTGGCGTCTGTAATTCAGTATACATGTCGGGATATCTTTAAAATAAATCGTAGGTAGGAATGTGATCTATAAAGCTACATCTCAGTCCTTTGGTACATTTCGTTTATTCAAAAATACGTACATATGACGTAACTATTAAGGATGATTTTTGCTTATCACCGTACTTGAAACTGTAGCGAAAGTGATTTTGATTGGACATCTTATCTTGTACAAAGAAATGGGAGTGGGAATGTAGGACAATCTGACTGTGTAATTTTTACAGCCACTCGCAGTATACGATTTAAGTGGGACAGGTCATATTTTGAGAAGTAGATCTTTATTGTAACCCATATACATTATACACTTAATACCATACCCAAGAAAACTCTCCTTTTAGGTACACACAGCCACACATCAATCTATACAAAACCAGTTTATCCTGGTGACGCGTCGCATCATCTTTCCGCACATTTAACGTTCAGTTTATACTGGTTATGTAAAGCTCGATGTGTAGCCGTGTGTACAAGAAAATTGGTACAAACCAAGTGTTTAAGGTCACCATCACCTTTGCTCCACGTGAGACAAGCGAATATCACCCTTAACTCCCTACCCCAAGTATGACTCCATCCACTAATCTTCCTTACCTCCTTTCAGTCTAGAAAAACGCTTCTCAGACGCCAGTTCCTGCATGGACGAGTGCTTCCACACGTCTCTAAGGTCCGTGTCTCCATCCTGGGCTGGTCCTGCAAGCCAGACTATGCACTGTCTCTCAGATCTGGACTCCAGCCTTGATGGCGATGAGAAGTTCAGGAGACCAACCTCATTGCCACGGTGTTCCAGTTGCATCGGGAAGATCAGTCAATTGACGAGGTAAGTGGTTGGGAAACTAGAGAAGTTCTTTTAACACGTTCAACGCCATGGGGGTCACGGGTGACCGGCGTTAGCGGAGGATTTACCTTCAACAGTTTTTTATTGGCAGTCAAAGTCTTAAGCGTTACTTGTTCTTTTGAAAAACAGGCGCATTGAAATTTTGTTGTGTCTGACCATGTTAGTAGAGTAACCAGATTCAATTACAATTCTATCACTTAGTAAATTAGCCTTTTCGTAATGATTAGTTGCCATTATCAACAATGGGATAGTAGTCATGAGATCCTGACAATGTCTTCTCACGTTTTCTTTCATAATTCCAGATCATCAACAATGAACACGCCAGGTTCAATAATGTCCCCAGTATGGACAATGGACAATATTCTGGAAAAGCGCTCGGATTCTGACAGAGCCTCCATATACTCTCGTTCAAGTGGCAGTGCTTCAGAGTACAGTGTACCGCGCAGCGCCTGTCTCCTGGACAAGAGCTTTGAGTCCAAACGGGCGAGCCCAGTGGCTTGCTGTACCCCCACTGTCCCGGCAAAGACCGGTGGCAGTTGCCAATGCTGGCAGCAGGTCAAACCATGCTGCTGTAGAAAGAAATCCTTCAGCGGACCCTACGAGAACTACGATGTTCCAAAAACACCAATGCCCTTAATACAGGTAAGACTGAATTAAAACTCCAGATTTAGCAAAGAAGTTAAAGTGAAAGCTTGTTAAAATTAAGTGAGGTAGTCTCTAGAAAGTCTTTTGATTATCAAAAGCAACTTTAACGTAATTATTCAGGTCTATCAGTTTTTAAGACATTATTACACTCAATTAAAACGTACTTAATCCAGAACTTTCTATTCAATTACTTAAATATCAATCTTTGTTACAGGAGCACCCAGTAGACTCTCACACAGACCCCTCCAGCATATACGATACACCAAAGAAACTGAAATGTCTGCTCAACGGGCAGCCGTGCACCTGCACACACGAAGCCAAAAACGTAGAGAACCAACAAACAGATAATAACAACCCAAGTGATACTAGCATTAACAATAACGAAGCTGAGACACATTCCAACTACGTCAACGTTACCCCACACCCCACTGCCACCAAGAAACCAGTCCCAGAAATAGATTTTGCCAACTACGCTAACATAGACCTCTCGACACTTGAAAAGTTCGAGAATTCCCTACAGATTCTAAGAAGCGCTGGATTCAGTCAGGAAGAATTGGACGCTTTGGAAGATATCCCTGAGCACGATGACGATATATCAACCGCTACAACGAATACTGTGCATCCCTCCACAGATTGCTGTAATGAACACTTAAATTACATGCACATGGAGCCACTAGAAATCAGTATTTCAAGTAGCAAACAGAATTTCTCCGACAATATAAGTCGTATTAGCCATATGTCCGACCCCACACAACACTCTGAGTCAGACAACACGAATAGCACGCGACGATCAAGTTCCGCGGACTTCACGAAGAGACACGATGACGATTATGGGATGAACAATCGGATATGTTTCACTCCAACTGTTCTTAGAAAAGCTACGAAAACTGATCGAATTAACGAAGGCGTGCAAATAAGTTTAGAAATCATTGAACCGAAAGATAAATTCAAAGTGCCTGAGTTAAAAAGCGAGAATGCACTGGTGACTAAGTTTAGAGACGCTGTTAAAATACGGCGTTCATCAAGTGTCCCTAGTAAATCGGACAAAAATAGGGACTCGTCGAGTTCAAACGATTCTGGGGTCTCAACAGGGTCTTTGAAGCATCATAAGGGTGATTTTAACGAATTTGAAATGCCAATAACAAGTTCGAAATCAATAAAAAAGCATGTGAAGAATAGTAAGCAAATGAGGAAGGCCCTGACTCCAGTACATGCCTTCGTCAAGTCGAATTCTTCGGATCCGTTGAAGAACTTGACATTTCAGTTTGAGGAGGTGGCGACGTTGACGAAATCTAATTCTTGTGATGTGGACACGCTGACGAGACGGAAGAAGAGACCTGGTAAGTTGACTTTTGGACATCTCTTATACACATACTTTACCTAACGGGTAACCGGGGCTCCGGCTCGACGTGCAGGAGAAGGAACGGGGTGGTTTTTAGTCAGTAAGAATCTGACACTCCCTTCCGCCTCACCCAGGCGGGAGCAGCCATTCGATGATTTTCCCCCCTTAAAAAAAGAAACCGAGTAGAGCGGGTAAAACTGCAAAGGAGTGGCTAGTTATAAGATACAATTATTAATTGAAGTTAACTTAGCCGAAGGTTCACAATATAAGGAATTATAATACCTAAGGCTATGTTCGTAATAAATTGTGCTAGTCTAGTACTTTCAAATCTGAAGGTCAATGTATGTTTTTGTGGCACGCAATTCAAACTTATAATTGGCTCTTTTTAGCAACAGAACAACTTTAATTTTTGTAACGTTTTTTTCTTCTATTTATTTCTTCTGTTTTATCTGAATTAGATTTATTACCGGAGGCTATTCAAAGAAGTTTCCTTTCGATTTATTTGTCTTTTTTTTTACTGTTGTAAGTGCGACTGCCGGGCGACTCGGGTTCGATTCCCGGTTCGGGCTAAGTATTACTGGGTTTTTTTAAATATTCTCAGTAGTAGCACGGAGTCTGGAATTGTGCAATAGGCTCACCCCCTATTACATAGGACTCGTAACATAAATAGTGAAAAGTGGGTGTTACATTGTACAGTGGTATAATGTGCACCTCTGCCTACCCCTTCGGGGATACAAGCCGTGATGTTATGTTATGTTATTTGTCTTTTGTAACTCATATATTTTGTTTTCTATAGAAACGGATGTCACAGCCCGCCACAGTCAGATGACGACCAAATCCACATCGAGCGGAGCATCCGATACGTCGGACTACATGGAATCCCTCTCAGTGTCATCCTTCAGTTCATGTGACGTCTCGGCCGACAGACACGTCACTAGGCCGAGATCAGGCAAGGAGTACGCGAGCATCGACAGGACAGCCCTGGTCTAGTTGGAACCAACATTTGAACCAATGTTGGAACATGTGAATTGATGGAAACTATTTCGTATGTTATTACAATATCATTAATATTAATAGAAAAAAATGATGGATCTTCACAACAAGCCTATCTTTGTAATAAAATGGTACCGTTACAATGTAATTTTACGAAAAAAATTCCCCGCTAAAGAGATCATAAAAACATCGTGTCGCTAATGACGTTGGTATATGTCACGAAAGATTTATGAGCCAAACATTTGCCAAACATTCATCCAAATTATTAGTTTGAACATCGTTTGCCTACCCTGGTCTGTGACGCAGGATCAAGGTCATGTGTACTTAATGCTATGCCTACGGAAAGACACAACCAACATAAAGATCAATAACTATTAAAAAAGTCTTATTTATCGTTCGATAATACACACATAAAAATATGTATATCCTACCAAAAAGGTAACCCAAAACTTAAAAAATATAATCTTCTTATAAAAGACATCACTTTCATTTAATACAAAACATTTCATAATCATTTAAAATGAATAAATAAAATGAAACTTGTAAATATAATGTACATATATAAGTACATACAGTTCATACATTTGTTCCTATGTACATAGTTTTAAGTATGTAAAAGCAGTTATGAACGAATTTAGTTCTTTAGTAGCGTGCCAAAAATAATGTAGCTTGCTATTAAACTGGTTTTGGGTATTGTAAAATATAATATGTAACTTCATTTCAACTAAAGAATGTTTCAAATAAAATTGTACGTCGATTAAACATTTATTTAGAATTCTGTGTATCATTTAAAATGTAGCCCTGTATATTTTAAATGTAAGTTTTAAATGTAGTTCGTAATCATCATTTATTGTGTTAGGTACTTAAATTATTTGTGCCTTTACTTAAACATGTGTTGCTAAAATATTGTCTTTCATTTATTTTTGTTACCTTCATTTAATTACTTTAAATGTAACTTTGATAAGTAGATTTATAAAGCAGTATAAAATGTGAATATACTTATAAATAAGAGTTGGTTAAAGTCGCCTATAGATACGCAATTTATAAGCAATAGAAAAAGTAACGATAAAAAAGATTTAAAATTAATTACGAATTGTGAAAGTGTTACTGGGAATAAAACAGAGATGGCGTTAGTTTCGTTTTTATTAAGATGAGTGTTCACATGGTCTTTTTAATAAAAATAAATTATAGTCAATGCAAAATGCATTTAAAACGCAACTTAATACGATCATTGTAATTAATTTTAAATACATTTAAATACATTATGAATAAAATAAACAATATTTAAATGAAACGTTTTTAAGTAGGTAAGTACTTGTAGGATTTTTATATAAAAAACTGCATTCATTCAAACAGTCCTACCAACATTAATATATTATTTTGAAACAGATAACTATTTTTCATTTCACTGAAAAAACCCCAAATAGGTAAATCATTTAAGTACATTCCTTAATCACTTACAAAAATACCTACTTTTTTATATGACTTAAAACAAATCACATTAAATGGAACAATCAATTCTTAAAAAAAAACAGTAAGTAATCGCCTGCAATTCAGTAAACAGGAAAGTAAAAACAGATATAACTTGTATTTGTAATTGGAATATCAATCCTTTAAAATCAATAATATTCAATAAATTATTATCGTTTGACACTTCTTCACACCTTTTTTATCACGTTATAGTTAATAATTGAGTACTTGCCAACTAGTCAAATTCAATACTCTTTTACCGAACAGTAAAAAACGGCAGTATTCTATGAATTTTGTACGAGATTGTGTATAGTGACATTATATACGTCACATTTTTTTAGCGTCAAACAGCATACTTTTTTTTTTTCTCTTTGGCACACGAGTCTCCAAAATGATCTTGTCGACTATACTGCCAGTGTCCAAGCATACTTATTTCTTAAAAATTTGCTGGAATTATACTAAAATTAAGTTGATTATAGAATCAGTTAATAGAAGTGTGATTGTTTTTTAATATTTTATTGTATTGAACAGTCGAAATAATTTATTTTTAATTCAGGAAAGTACCCCAATTACTATCGTTTCACACTTCGGACCCTTTTTATCGCATTATAATAACTAACTACAAATTTTGAAATAGACCAAAAATATATGTACTGTACTAAGTACCTATTTAATTTTATTTTTCGCATTTTCCTTCCATAAACTAAACTAGGTACATATTTTTAAGACTATACCAATCATTTCTTATCTATCCTTTTACAGACATTAGCAAGAGATTAATTATTATGTTTAACGGCTTACTCACGTAATTATTTGATTAGAATCTCGACTAGTTACAAGCCATGCTAGATGCTAACAGTCGCCGCGTCGCGGGTCGCGGAATGCTGCTTATGAATATCAGCCTCTAGCTTTGCTTGAAACTAGTGGAGTTGCTCGTCAAATAATTACGTGAGTAAGCCGTAAAACATAATAATAAGTCTCTTGCTAATGTTTGTAAAAGCATAGATAAGAAATCATAACGATTAGTATCGTCTTAAAAATATGTAGTTTAGTTATAATGAAAGAAAATATGAAAAATAACATTAAATGGATACTTAGTTACATATATTTATACATTCTATACCTAATAATAAATTTAGTAGTGTCTCCGAAAGTAATTAATAAATTAGCAACAAAATACAAAAATACGCCAAGTCGTGTGAAAGGTCATTTTAATTTTCGTCGTTAAGTATAATCATTTTTAATATCAGTGTACCTACTAAGTATAACGTTGTAGACTACGTACAATGTACATGTGTTTGGTTTTACGAATAAAACTGTTTGTGAAAAAATGGAATAGCCGATACGTTACTCCTCTAGTCAACGGTTTGTGGTGATCACAATAAATTGATTACTAAAATAAAACATGGCGTCTAACAAACTATGTTCAGGTTACTCTTAGCTGATTATTTCCAAGATGGGTTTAAATGTATTTTAAAAGACCGGCAACGCACTTACAACATGTTTGCGGGTGTCCATTGTCGACGATGGTTGCTTACCATCAGGTTACTAGTGATCCAACTACTCGTTTGCCTTATATCCCATAAAAAATCGTGGCGTATGGCAAAAGGAACAGAAAACACAGAAAAAAAGTATAAAGTAAAATGGTCAACTCCAGATCTAGATAATATTCGATATCAAATTTACTTATATTCATACTGTTTAGACTCAAAATGCAACAAAGCGAAAACATACCTTAAGTACCTAAACCCATTAGATACATTTATTATATTCTGGTCACCACATTTTAAGGTTTATTTTTGCACGAAATGGAATGTTAAAAAGCACAATAGGTATACATAGATATAGTATACATACATACAGACATAAGTACTATTACATAATATAAATAGTTAATTTTGTGTAAAAATATATTTTCTTAAGAAGTTTTTTAAGTTGCAGACTGTATTACGATTTTAAAAGGTTTTTGTAACAATACATAGCAACTGAAAATATATAAAATATAGTGCATTTTGAATTACAATCCGTTTTTTATTCGTACTATTAATTTCTTATTACACTTCTCCTTTTCACATGAGCTTTTGATGATGCATAATCCATCAACAGCTCGAGGCTGTCCACTGGTAAAGTGGTGATCTATAGGCCTCCTCTACCAAATAGATTTTGCCATAATCTCCAAATAGCGTGCCTACTCTTGAAACCAATTTCAATGTCAATGCAATTTCAATCCAATAAAATTAATATGTATTCTATTCTATCTAAAAACTCATTAATTATTCAATGTCCACACTATACAACCACAATCGTAACTGTAAAAATAGCATTCAGAGTATGAAATATAAAGCCAAACTCAATACCATTTAGTTCCTTAAATATCCACGCAATACGGATGCAATGGGCGCTAGTATTGCAATTGCAACTCAAGAGTACGAAATTTCACAATACCAATGTCGATCGATAAGAATTGGATTCAAAAGTAAGCCCCCAGGGCAGGATGTTTAAAATGCTAAGGTTTAACAAAGAACTCTGCTAAACAGTCTTATAAGTTATACATATTTAATTCCGATATTCTACGCTTCTGTCACCAAAAATAAATATCACCCTTTGAACTGCCTTTATAACTGCTGAAAAACAAAAGAGGTCCTTAGTTCGACGGTCGACCTCAAGAATCAACAAAACTTTTTTTCCGTATAGGGGCCTAGAAAAATCATATAGTATCTCCCGCTATTACATAAATTACTGCTGCAAAAAACTGTTATATTTATTGTTATCGCATGGTAATGCATGGTAGAAATTCTCAGTAGTAGCACGGAGTCTGGAATTATGCCCGGTATATGGCGATAGGCTCACCCCCTATTACATGGGACTCATAACATAAATAGTGAAAAGTGGGTGTTACATTGTACAGTGGCATAATGTGCACCTCTGCCTACCCCTTCGGGGATAAAAAGCGTAATGTTATGTATTACATAAATTACTGCTGCAAAAATACAGTTTTATTTTATGTTATCGCAATTTCTAGAAAATAAAAGCAGTCGAAACTATTTCTTTTACAAATTCAAGGCTTTTCTTTAAGACTATTAAAGACAGTCTCATCTAAGATAACAGCTCACACAGAATTGAATCAACTCTGGCAAAGCGTTTGTGCCTTGTGCCTAGTTATATATCTCCGGGGTAATCCCTGGAGCTAGTGGCAAACGTGTTTAGACTGCTAGACTAGATTGGACAAAATCTAGTAGGTAGAGTATTAGAAGAAATAGGATATTTATTTATTTAAACCTATTTTCAGGCAACTATAGTCCATAGATACATACCTTACAGACTTAATATATAATTGATGTTTATTTTTTGTATACATAGGTATAATAGCTAAAAACTAAATATGTAAAACAAAAGACTAAAAAGCATACATATTTTATTATAGAATAGTAGTTGTTTAGCTAGGTACATTTTATGTAATTATTTTTTTAAAGTTTTTTTTAACTTGATATGTTGGCTACTCAGCATTGGCTCTCATATGGCTCTTA